GGAACATGGAATGTGAGAACCATGAATGTAGGAAAATTAGAAATTGTTAAGAAAGAAATGGAATGCATAAATATTGACATACTAGGCATTGGAGAGATGGGATGGACTGGCATGGGGCATTTCGAGTCAGATGACCATATGATATATTATTCTGGAGACGAAAAGGTGAGGAAAAATGGAGTTGCTTTCATAGTCAAAAAGGAAATTTATAGATCCATCTTGAAGTACAACATTGTGTGTGATAGGATTATATCCATACGCTTACTAGGAAGTTAAGTGAACACTACTATCATTCAGATATATGCACCAACAACCAGAGCCAAAGAAGAAGAAATAGATTATTTCTACCAACTCTTACAGGCACAGATCGATCGAACATGCGGTCAAGATGCATTGATAATAATGGGCGACTGAACTGCAAATAAATAAGTATAAAATAAAAAGAAAACACAACAAACCAAAAAACTATGAGATATCATCTCACCCCAGTAACAACAGCAAAATTCAGCAGAGCAACAAACACCAAAACCTCATGAAGTTTTGGAGAGATTGGAAATCTTATTCACTACGGGTGGGAGAGTAAAATGGTGCAACCAGTGTGGAAAGCAGTATGGTGCTTTCCAAAAAACTTGGAAATAAAAATATCACTTGACCCATTAATTCTACTACTAGGAATATACCCTAAAGAAACCAGAGCTGCCACCCAAACAGACATATGCACACTTAAGTTTACTGCTGCGTTATTCTTAATAGCAAAGAGATGGAAGCACCCCTAGTGTCCATCAACAAATGAATGGATAGAAAAACTATGGTTTAGTCGCACAATAGAATACTATACAACACTGAAAAAGAAGGAATTAATAAAATATTACACTACATGGGTGAACCTGGAGGACATTATGCTAAGTGAAATAAATATCTTAGTCATAAAAGAATAAATACTCTATAACACCACTGTTACAGAGCAGGACTGACATGGGAGCTGAGGGAAACTAAGAAAAGAGGGAATAAATAATTCATACTGCATTGGAACAAATGAAGGAAAGAACTATTTAAAAAGAATATGTCATTAGACATTATACGTGTGACGATAGCCCAGAATAAGAGGTACATTGTAAAAAAGACTGGGAGGCCACACAGAGAAGTAATTGTGGAACAATGAACAAATATTTAAAAAAAAAAAAGTGAATTGGGGGAAGGGGAAGTGAGGATAACCAGGTAAAATGTGCAACAATGAATGAATGAAAATCTAACTTTTTGGTAAATATTTATTAAAATCACAATTAAAAAAATTATTACCAAAAAGAAAAAAAAGCAACTTTCTCCAGGACAGACTTATTTGTTCTCTTGAATATTCTTCTCCAGCATACCAACTCAAAGGCATCAAATTTTCCAAATGCAACTCATCTTTTGATTTCCTGACTGCTGGTAACAAGAATGTTGATTGTGGATGTGAGCAAGATTAAATTCTTAACAACCTCAATCTCTTCTCTATTTTTCATGATACTGCCTATTAGCCCAGTGGTGAGGACCTTTGTTTTCTTGATGTTGAGATGCAATCCATCTCAAAGGCTACAGTCCTTGACTTTCTACAGAAAATGTTTCAAGTCTGCCCCAGTTTTGGCAAACAAGGTTGTGTCATCTGCATAATACAGGTTATTAACAAGTCTTCCTCCAATCCTGATACCACATTCTTCTTTATAAAGTCCAGCATTTTGAATAATTTGTTCTGCATATAGACTGAAAAAGTATGGAGAGAGCATAGATTCCTCACACAGCAATCCCAGACTCAGAACAGGTTCCTGTTTCCTGAAAGCCCTCAGTTGTCCTGAAGACTCAAGCAACTCCAAACAGTTTAAAGCTAGAGTTCTGCGGTGTCATTCCTGTTTGGGAAAGGCATCTTTTAACCTCTTAGAAGTTGTGTAGTGTTGACCCTTGGGCAATTCCCACATCTCTGCTAAGAGGAAGTTTCATTTGGAGTATGATACCATTTTTGTGAAAATAACACCATACTCTTTTTTTCCAGGTTACAGTCCATGCCTTTCTACCCTCCAGATTCCATTATGGTAGATGACTCTTGGGGATACAGCTCCACAGACTGGGAGCAGAGTCACTTGCTGGGCAGTGACAGAGTCCAACTGTCTGGATCTGCTTCTACAGAGAAGGATGGACTTCCTGACAGTGTTCCTGTAACATTCCACTCATGGACACTAAGGTAGGACTTGGGTGCAACCCTACAGGGGTGATACTGTGTACGGGTCTCTTGTCCTGAGACTGATGTAAGGTTTTATTGCATTCTAGTAAAACTCACTCAGTGAAGATGGAGAAGGTGGTTTTACATGCAGACAAGCTGTACTTTTTGTCAAAGGAGAGATCATTTCCCAGAGCCTTGGAGAGCAGCTGGCTATGAGCTCATGAAACTGTAACAGATTCAATGTAAAATTGTAGTACACATATTCTGCATTTCTTAATATATTTATGGGTTTTCATGCCCATGGAGTTTGCACATGGATGATCCTTGTCAAGTGTACTGAGGGATCTCTGAGGCTTGCTTTGTTATTGGTAGTTGGTAGTTGTTCACAGAAGCCCTTTATTGGGATAAGGCCAGTGCAAAAGGAGCATGTAAGGACTAAAAAGAGCTGACTAGACTGTAGTCCTACCATTTAGGAGACAGACTTGCTCTATCCTCTGCCTGTAGTTCATTGCCATAAAGAAAGGATCCTATTGAAAGCAAAAGAGTTGAAAATGGCATTCATTCATACTAGTTTCCTTCTGCCCCTCTTACCTTGACATCACCTTGTCTGCAGCTGTTTACCATCTGATATCCTTTTACCACCTGACTTCCCTTCCCTTCTCACTATCCAGAGTCATTGTACATCTTCATAATGACTGACCAATCTCGTTGTTGGAGCACCAGTGTCTGGATGATGAGTCTGTTAAGAAATTGTGTAAATAGTGTGAATTGAATGAATAGGCAATATGATCTCAGTTACCAGCATGGCTACCTGTCTTCCTTAATGCCCTTCCTAGGCTCAGGTATGAGCCGTGACATGGTATGCGAAAATATCCCACAGCCTGGGCACAAGGCATATTGGAGACTGCCTTTAGTGGCTTTTGTTACTTCTGTGACTAATGGAATAATTATCCTAAGATAATCTCAAAGTTACAAAATTCTATGTCATTCTTTCATGTGTAGAAAGCATCTGAACAAACATTTTATTTTGGATTGTCAGCTCTCCTGTGTATGTCAGAGTTTTGAAGAAAGAGGTTTGTGTTTAGGATAGTTCAATAAGTTCTTCATGCATTGAAAATAAGTTTTATTATTTAAATGGGAGCTGTTGAATGATAAATTGAGAATGCAAAAAATGATTGTTCAGTAGTTTCATGAAATCTAGGAAAATGTAAAACAACATTTTACCATTTCCAAGGGATTATTTTTTTTTAAAAGGAAGGATGAAACTTAAAAAGATGCCCAAACACAGAATTTTCTCTTTACCAGTGTGTATTAGTGTCATGGGATTTATGGGAAGATGGGGCAACACTCAGCGCTTGCCCTGCCCAGGGAATATCAGTGGGGGTGAAACAGGTCCTGCATACTCAGTGACTGGGTAAGGTCCTGTACACTTAGTATCTGTAGGTGGATAGCTAATGAACAGAGATAGAGAAGAGACTGACCTGAGAAGATTGAGAGATCCTCTTAGTGGGACAGCAAGAAAGCATATGAACAAGTGAGATCTTAAGTACCACTGTGATGTGAAGGAGCTGTTGGTGAAAATAGCAGGAGAGGGCATCAGAGAATCTTTCTGTGTCTTCTGAAGATTTTTGTAAAGTTTCTGTGGTATAACAGGCTCTAGATTTTTGTTGTTGTTGTTGCTATGTGTCATCAAATTGCCTGTGACTCATAGTGACCTTATGTTACTTTCTAGAATTATTTTTCATTATGGACCTATGATATTTGAAAATCAAATAATTTTCACACTTCCCAGAAAATTTTGAGAAAAATGATTGATAAAAAGAATTCTGAGGGCCAAAATAAGAGATATGGCTTACTTGAAAACGCTGAGACTTTGAAGCTTTTACAGACTAGTAATGAGCCCAATGTTGAGCCACAGCACCTGCAGAGAAGCGCTTTGCACTGAGTACACACATCTGCAGCTTTTTGCCAAGAGACAGTAAGTTTGCAGGTGAACAGTTCAGATATGTGGATTCTTTTCATCAGCAACAGATTTCTCTGGTGCCTATAGTAGCCCTTCTTTTGCAGGAGCTTCAAACGTGGGTTGACTGTTTCTGGCCTATTCATCCTTGTAGCATCGTGTTCCGTGAGTATCTCTGCTGTGTCTGGCCAGGTGCCTCACTTCCAATATTGTGTGTTCTATGGCCTAATGTTATTTTTACCAGAATTACACAGCAGACACTTGAAGTTTATGTGATAGATAAATGGGTAGCTTTGGTCCCATCGTATTGCTTAGGGAAGGGAGTGGCAGGTAGGTGGAAGTGGGGTGGAGTGGCAGATAGTGGCAAGAGGGTGGAAATGTAAAACTGAACTGTTGACATTGTTCAAAAGGAATGACACTAACATGGCTATAAAAATTTTGCATAGTTTTTCACGATAAAAGTATTTTTTAAATATAAAAAAATCTCTGTAGTTACAATAACAAAAACATTTTTATAAGTCTATCTTAGGTATTTGCAATCGCTTTTTATGCATCAGAGGGTTGGACAATGACTAGGGAGGATAGAAGGAGAGTGGATGCTTTTGAGCTGTGGTGCTGGAGAAGGGTACTGAATGCACCATGGACTGCCAGGAAAACAAACAGATTCATCTTGGAGAGGATTAAACCAAGCTACTCCTTGGAGGCAGGGATTCTGGGGCTTCGTCTGACATACTTTGGACACGTTGCCAGGAGGGACGGGTCCTTGGAGAGGGACATCATGCTTGGGAGGGTGGAGGGACAGCGCAGGAGGGGAAGACCCTCTATGAGATGGATTGATTCGGTGACTGGGGTAATCGGGATGGGTGTGTCAGAGGTGGTGCGGTTGGCGCAGGATAGAGCGGGGTTTAGGGCTGTTGTGCATAGGGTCGCTATGAGTCGGAAACGACTCGACGGCACATAACAACAACAATCTTAGAAATATTAATATACCAATAAAGCTAAAACTCTGTGATAATTTAGGTTTTGAATTATCCAAAGAACTCTGGTGAAGATTCCTATACTGCTAATGGAAAGGTTGGTGGTGGGAAAAAATGGGCAGGCTCCTTCCAAAGATTCACACCCTGTGAAACAGTGAAGGTCACAGTAAGCCAAATTGAACTCAGTGGCAGTGGGCTTGGTTTTTAAGAAACCTACCAGAGAAGTTCATAATGTATGCAGCTACTAACTGATGGTCATCTGTTTAAATTTACCAGCTGCGCTGTAGGAAAAAAAGCACAATCTCCTCTCATAAAGATTTACAGCCTCCAAAACCCAGTGGAGGAAGCTATTAGTCATAGTCAAGTCCATGCTAGTGAGGTTTTTGTGTGTTTGCTTTTATTGATACACACTGGTCAGAACTGTTTTTATTTACTACTGTACAATGACACTTTGAATCATTTCTGCACAAACTTCAAACATTTTGTTGCTAGTGTTTTTATGGGATGGAGTAGGGACAGGGAGTGGAGGATTGTGAACTTATTTTTCTTTGTCTTGTTGTAGTGAAAATATACATGTACGTATGCACACATTTATCAATGTAATAATCTGTCCATATGATTCAGTGGCATTGGCTACATTCTTCAAGTTATACAATAATGTTTATTATTTTTTATTCTTTTCATAATTACTCCCCTAGCCTTAACATAAACTCAATGCCTGATAGGCAATAATTCCCTTTCCCCCAATTTTTTCACCCTCTTGATAACCACTAATAATGTCTAGTATTGAGATGATAACCAAAAGATAGAACATTCAAAATAAAAGAAAGATGGGCAGTCTTCTTTCACATTTACAGCTTCAGAAACCAAGTTGAATGGTACTCCTTGGTCCTCTTGGGTCTCTGATTTTCTTTGAATGATAATGCCATTGAATCTTTGCATGTGCTTGTTGGCCATTTGGATATTCTCTTTGGTAAATATTTGTACAGACATTTTGCTATTTTTGTTTTTTTTAAAAGAATTTTATTGTGTTTTGAGTAAAAATTTGCAGAATAAATTGATTTTCCATTTAACAATTCATACACGTTTTATCTTGTAACATTGTAATCCCCACCTCTTGTATTTCTTTCCATACATCTTTATTTCAAACTTTTTGAAAATATTTTTAAATGTTATATTATCATATACAATGTGTTTCATTTATGCACTTTATGTTTCACACATTTCTTCATTCATATTGTATTTCATATGCTTATTCCCATATATTGCATTTTATTAAACTAGTCACCAGTGTTCTATGCCTACTATCACTCTGTCTTTTCAGATTTCTACTGGATATTTCCTAATTTCTTCACTCCACCTTCCACCCACCAAACTTTTTGACTCTATGATTCCCCACTTTCCTTTCTTCCCCTGGATTATTGTATGCATCTTCCTAGTTATCCTTTTTATTTTCACAGTAGTGGTCTTGTGCAGTATTTGTTCTTATGAGACAGTTCACTCAGCATAATGATCTCTAGCCTCTCGAAGTATTTTTTTTAAATCATTGCTCCTGAGTGCTGCATAGTATTCCATCATGTGAATGTATACTGATTTCTCAATCCATTAATATGTTGATGAACATTTGAGATGTTTCCATTTTCTTGCTATTGTGAACAGTGCAACTATAAACATAAAAATTCTCTGTGTCTCAGTTCTAGTTCTCCCAGGGTATATTCCTAGCAGTGAAATAGCTGGATCATATGGAATTTCTATGTTCACCTTTTTGAGGAACCACCAAACTTCCTTCCAGAGTTGTACCATTTTACAATCCCACCAACACTGAGAGTTCCAATCTCTCCACATCCTCTCCAACATTTATTTCTTGCGGTCCTATTAAGCTTGGTCACTGCTACTGGGTTGATATTTCATTGTGGTTTTGATTTGTATCTCTCTGATTGCCAGTGATTTTGAGCATTTCTTCATGTGTCTCTTGGTCATCTGAACATCTTCCTCTGCAGAAAGTTTTTGAAGTCTTTTGCCCATTTTGTTATGACGTGGCCCTTTTTGTAGAGGCTCTGTAGTATTCTGTAAACTATTGCTATGAGACCCTTGGTTGTGATGACATTGCCAAGTATTTTCCCCCTAGTCAGTACATTTTCTTCTCACCTTACTGATAAAAAAAGTAAGTGATGCATATAAGGACTTAATCTTTAGAGGGTCTCATTCATCAATGTTATCCTCTCCTGATTGGGCATTTCTGGTTGTATTTCCCAATCCTTTTATAGCATAGGCTAGACCTTATTAATTTGGTCTTATTAGGTCTCATCATGTTTATGATTTTGGGCTTTAAGCCCAGGTCTCTGATTCATCTTGAATTGATGTTTGTGTAAGCTGTGAGTTGTGGATCCTGCTTCAGCTTTCTGCAGGTAGAAGTCCAGTTTTCCCAGCACTATATGTTGAAGAGATTTTCTCTTTCCCATTTGATATGTTTTGTTTCCTTGTCAAATGCAGGCTGACCATAGATGGTTGTTAGGTGCCATTCAGTCAAGTGCGACCCATTGTGAACCTATAAATGAAAAATCCAAACCCTGTACTATTCTTTGCCATCCACACACTTCTTGACATACTAGAACCCACTGCAACAGTCACTGTCAATCCACCTTCTATTCCTTCTCTGATCATCTGCCTTTCCAAGCATGGTGTCCCTCTCCAAGGAATAGCCCCTCCTAGTAACAACGCCTGAAGTATATGAGGCAAAGCTTCATCATCTTTGCCTCCAAAAAAAGCACTCTGACTGACTTCACTTTCTCCAAGACATGTTTGTTCTCTTGGAAATCCATAGGATATTCAGTACACTTCTCCAACACCACAGCTCAAAGATATAAATTCCTCTACTGTCTTGCTTATTCATTGTGCAGATTTCAAATGCATAGAAAGTGATTGGAAAGACCATGACGTGAACTAGATGTCCCTTAGTCCTTAAACTGATATTGCTGCTTCTCAATAATTTGGAGAGGTCCCTGATGGCAGACTTTCCCAGTGCAATATGTCTCCTGATTTCCTGACTGCTTGTACCAAGGATGTTGATTGTGGATCCAAGTAAGATGAAATTGTTGATAGTTTCAATCTTTTCTCCATCTATCATGATGTTGCCTACTGGGCTTGATGTTGAGACACAATCCATATTGAAGGCTGTATTTTTGAATCTTCTGAAACAATTGCTTCAAGTCCTCCTCACTTTCAGCAAGCAAAGTTTTGTCATCTGTATAATAATGCACGTCATTGATGAGTCTTCCTCTGATTTTGATGCCATATTCTTCTTCATTTAGTCCAGTTTCTGTAATAATTTGCTCAGCAGATGGAATAGGTATGGAAAGAGAATACCGCCCTGACACATACTCTTCCTTCTTAATTCAAACCAGGGAGCTCTGGTTGCCTAGCAGCAAGGAGATGCACTGCAGTCCCAAAAGGACGCAGTTCAAGGCCATCAGCTGCTCTGTGGGAGAAGGATGGGCAATCTCGTCCTGTGAGATTAACTGCCTCTCAAAACCTGCCCATTTTGGGGTGTTTTCAACTCTACGTACACAATGACAATAACAGTGTTCCCTTGCTCTGTTCACACAACAGCCTCTTGGTCTAGGTATAGGTTTTGCATGAGCACAATTAAGTGCTTTGGGATTCCCAGTCTTCTTAATGTTAGCCATAACAAGTTTGCCATAACTTGTTCCACGCAGTCAAATGCCTTTGTATAGTCAATAAAGCATAAATAGACATTCTTCTGGTATTCTTTACCTTGAGCCAGGATTCACTTGACATCAGCAATAATGTCCCTGGTGCTATGGCCTCTTCTAAATCCCACTTGAACTTCTGGCATTTTTCTATCAATGGTCTAGCTGTTTTTGAATAATCTTCAGCAGTACTTTTTGTTTGTATGAGATATTGTTCAATAGTTCCACATTCTGTTGGATCACCCTTTTTTGTGGAATGGAGATAAATATGGACCTTTTCTAATCTGTTAGTCAAACAGCTGTCGTCCAAATATCCTAGTATAGACTAATTAGCACATACAAGGCTGTATCTGTTAACTGAAACAAGTCAGTTGCTATCCCATCAATTCCTGGGGCCTTTATTTTTTGCCAATACCTCAGTACAGCTTCAACTTCCTTTATTACCATTAGCTCTGGCTCATATGGTACTTCTTGAAAT